AAACAGAATACTTCTCCACAGGAGGAGTTATGTGAGATAAAGACAAAAACCCCAAGCAAAGAGGAAGCGAAAGTGATCGAAGGGAAAGGTCAAAATGGAGTTTTAGGGAGAGAGACAGAGACTGGAGACTAATTCCAAGAAAGGAAGAAAAGAAAAAGAGCTTTTTGGACTAGATTGTCTACTTCAGCCTGTTTTACTAAGAGCAAATCTTACTGTCAGTAATATATCCCCATGGTAGGGGAAATATACTAGAAAGGTCTGCTCTTAAGGTAGAATTCGCTGGGATATCTTATGAAACCCAGGTATTGTCTGAAGTTTTTGTCAGCAGAGAGATCCTTACACTTGATGTCTTCAAATTTGTCTTTGATTAGCACAGATGACTTATTGCATTTTTGAAGGTGAGAGATGGGTTAGGGATGGAAGATAATGGCCGTGATCGCTCTATTGGGCCTGAGCTTGGAGGGAGAATTGAGATGAGAGTTCATTGCACAGGAGGAGACTGAATGGACTTGGGGTGGAGGGCTGAGGGTCTGGCTGGGAAAACCTCTGCAGAGCTCTGAATCAGACCTGCTGCTAAGCCCATCCAACAAGCATGCCTTTGACACCAATCACAGGTAGATTACCAAGGTCTATGTGGACACGTCTGCTTTGAAAATTACTTATACCAGCTTGCATTTAACCATCAAATCTTGGATTTTAAAATGTTAAGTAAGGTTTGTTGTTGTTGTGTACCATTGAGTTGGGAGTGACCCGTAGCTGACCTTCCAGCGGGTTTTCAGAGGCTTAAATTTTGGTAGGATTAATGGCACTGTTGAGATTAAGTAGCCTCCTTCCTTCCCCCATTGGAGAGAGAGAGAGAGGGGAGAGGGTTAGAAGCCAAGAAAGCTACTGGAAACCAATTGCTCTGGAGTTGACTCTGACTCAACCCAGAACCCAAGTGTTTCAGAGTAAAGTTTATAAGGTTTTCAGTGGCTGTTACCTTTTGATTGAGAGTAGTTCACCAAGCCTTTTTTCTAAGGAGCCTCTGGGTGTATTTGAACCACCAGAGAAGCTTCTGGGTGGGACTCAAGCTATAATCTTTCATTTTATAGTTGAACACTTAACCTTTTACATCAACCATGAATTTCAAGAAGCTGTAGGCTATAGCAAGGATGTGCCTGATTCATTCCTGGTCTTTTCACTTACCTCCTAACCTGAAAGGTGCACAGTGAATAAAGATGACAAAAGGAGAATCAATGCTTTTGAATTGTGGTGTTAAAAAAGGGTACTGAATAGCCCTTGTTGTTGTTGTTGTGTACCATAAAGTCAGAGCCGACCCATAGCTGACTCTTCAGCGGGTTTTCAGAGGCAGGTAATCACATGGGAAGAGATTGTTCATCCTTCTTCCATGGAACAGCAGGTAGCCTCAAGCCATGTTCCTTTGGGGTTGCAGCACAGCTTCTTGCCAGTAGGCCACCAGAGCTCCTTATTCTGTCTTAGAAAAAAGTGCAACCAGGGTACTCCTTCAAGGCAAGGAACTTGGTTTCACTTGGGCATGTTATCAGGAAGGGCCAGACCTTGGAAAAAGACATCATGCTTGGAAAGGTCAGAAAAAACAAAGAAGACCCCCAACAGAGGGATCGACATAGTGATTATACCCGGGGACTTGAGCGTATCAGAGATTGTGAGAATGTGGCAGGATAGGGCAAGGCTAGATATGGGTTCATAGGGTCACAGTGACTTACAGTTGACTTAATGGCACCTAATAACAGCAGCAACACAGGCTACTTGATTTTCAGGAGAGCCTGGGCTTCACGTACAAAAAAAAAAGAAAAAGAAACTAGGCCTGGTTATACTGACTGCATCCCAGCAAGGGACTGTTAGAACAGGCCAAAAGCTGGACTTCATAAGTGCATGGTGAGGGCGCAGGGGTGGAGGGGAAGAATTTAGGCAGGAAAAGGCCACTGGTGACCTAAAAGGCACAGAGCACATGTTGCATAGAAAACTGTACTTTTTTTTTTTAAATTAGGTTCTTTGGTTTGATCTCCGTGTCATTTAGGTTTAGAAAGTCCTACTTCTAAGCTGAACACTATGACACTGATGTGTCAGATGCGTTAACAGTTACCCATGGTGGACAGTGTTTGCTGGGGCTCCCCGATTAAAACAAGCTCATAAAAAAAAACCCCAAAACACAAAAAAACAAGCTCATCCACTTCTGAAATAGCTTGCCTCTGGAAACCCTATGAACCTGGAGAAAGGATGAAAGTTATACAGGTGTCTGGGTCTTTTGTTCACAGGGTTGCTATGAGTCGTCTATGACTTGATAGCACTTGACAACAATAACAACTGCTAAGCATTTTAAAAATTAGGACTGAATGTAAAGATTCTTCTCTTATGAGCTTGCTGTTCTAGACCTTTGCTGTAAGGGAAGCCTCTCAGGAGAGTGCTTGGCAACATTTTGTACAGTGTCGCCGTCCTAGATCCCTTCAAAGAGTGATAGTACCAGTTAGGTGTCTTTCATTGAAGGCCTTCAAACAGATTCTTTGAAGTAGAAGTGGGGGGTAGTAAAATGATTTTCAAAATAGTTGTCTCTTAATATACATTGGTAGAATATACTGTTCCTTCAGTGCAGTACAGAAGACCTTATTAAGAAAACTTCCAGAATTGAACCATGTCTTGTGACCAGAGACTAAGTTGAGCACTTGTATCTCCTCAGGCTAGAAATGGTATGATCTCGGAAATTAATTTAGTCTCTGAGTCATAGTTTTCTCAAGAGTGAGGTGACAAAAGTATCACTTGGCACTAATTAAATTGCAGATCATGTGAATAGAGTTTTTCAGTAAAGAAAGCAGAATAACTTTGGTTTTTAAATATATACAAGCCTGACTGTCTGTCTCATTACCTCTATAGGAAACATAGGAGTAATACAATAATGTGAGACAAAAGAAACCCATAAAAACAAGCAGTCTTCCCATAATTTATTTCTTTAGAAATTTTAAAATTGAGACTTAGATGAATTCCCATCATTTCTTCAAAAACTCTGTATTTGATTGAGTCCTTCTGAGGGCATTGAGGAATAGAAGGTGGAATAATGGAAATGTGGTCATAATGTGGAATGCGGGGTGGGGAGACAAAAGGGGAACCCTTGAGGAAGCCTGCAAGAAACCAAGATATAGCTGGAGATGCAGAGAATAGCAGCAAATTCAATTGTAAATAGTTAAGCTATTGTAATAGTTAAGTTGGGAGGTGATCAAAGAGGGTCTTTTTATTGGATGTCAGAAAGTTAAGAAAAAGGGACCTGAGAAAAGGTCATTGAATTTGGGAAAGCAGGGCTTTATTTGTGACCTCTGATAATAGAACACATTAACATATTTGTGTCATTTAATTTTTATTTTATCCCTATGGAAAGAGACGGATTGATTCAGTCATTGGGATAATGGGGATAGGTGTGTCGGAGACAATAATATTGGCAAGGGATAAAGCAGAGTTGACTGCATTTAACAACAGCAGCAACAACAATGGCATAGATATCATTATTGTCCTCATTTTTAAGCTCTTCACAGTGTTCAAGGAGAGACTTAAGGAAGTTAAATAAAGTCCCATGGCTAGTGACAGGGAGGCCCTTAGCTTTATCTCCTGCTGGTCAGACTTCAAAGCCCATCCTGTCAGCACCACCCTGGAGGCTCAACTCTTAGCAGAGTGGAAGAGAGACACTGGTGGTAATGGGGTGAGTGAGGAGGTGAACGTAGGAAGGGTTAGGCTCTTGTTTGTAAGTTTGGTTATGAAAGGCAGAAATAAATGGTTGGTCAAGTGACAGCAGGTATTTCAACCTCTCTGCCTGCCACTAGAAAAAAAATACGAGATGCTGAGGGAGAAAGGGGTAAAACTTCTACCCATTGGGGCTGATCTGAGCCCTTCCTTATAGTTCAACCTTTAGTACATCTTGTAATTCATGTTGTGTGTGATTTTTTTTTATAGACATCACTTCTCCTTTGAGTTAAAGTCATGATTATCATCATTGGAGTTTGCCTGGTGGGATCTGAAGGAATAGATAATTTCCCGTTCATTTCCAAGTAGCACAATTTAAAAATGCTTAGTATGCTTTTGAATGGAATTCATTTCTTAACATTGCTACCTGACCTGAGTGCCAGCCCCTAGTCCTGTGCTCTATCCACCTCTCCACCATCCTCTTCTATTTGGGTTCTCCCACAAATCATCCAGTGTGGTTTTATTGTGTCTGACCTTCTTTGCTATCATAGAAGCAAACGCGATCTGACCTTGAGGGAAAGCTCTCTAATCAAAATGCTGCAAGTCGACTTGGACCTGAGGACTGGCTGTCCAGACTTGGTTGGTTAGAGGGAGTGGCAGTTTCCAAGCATTTAAAGAAAGCACATTTTAGAGCCATAATGAGGTCAAGGAGTTTGTTCTCATTGTTAGTGTGAGCATGTAGCCTCTCGGTTGGGCTATTCAGGCACTTGAAAGGCATTTATGAAAGCAGGAGAGCAGGGTTACCTGACTAGACTCCATCCAGGCTATCAGCAGTCATCCAGGGCAGAATGCTCAAATCGCCAGATGAAAATGCATCCACACCTGCCTCTGGGATCCTGTGGGTTGGCCAGTCAATGAGGCAGAGCTTCTTCTAAGAAATAATTGCTAAAGTGGTGACACAATTCTTTCTTGGAGAGAAAGCCTACAGTTGACTCTCTGAGTACTTCATCCAGGGCGGAACACCTAGAACATCTGGGGGTAGTACTTCCTTTAGCAGTTAATGCAGTTAACCACACTCAAGGCAAACCAAATTCTGTGGCACTTTTTCTTTGAAGGAAAAGGAAAGAAACTGCCAAGCCGTACACTCTTAGGAGGAAATGTGCTTCAATTTCAGACTAGTTTTAAAGAAGCAGGGAATGTATTTGGTAGAGAAAATTAATCCTCCATTAAAAAAAGTAGACAGCAGAATTAAAGCTAAGAAAAAGGAGGGAAAAGAAAGTGTTCTCAATTCTTTTTTCTTTTCTTCTTCCTAGCAAGAACCAGTTGAGTCATCTTTGGGGCTTAGTAATGGAGTAAGTGATCTTTCTTCCGAGTATGCGGTCCTGACTTCACCTATAAAAAATGAAGTGGATAGTACGGTGAACATCATAGGTAAACTGTTTTGACATATCGTTTTCTTATACGCGCAATTGGCCCTCAGGGGTCTAAAGTTTGTAAAGCAGTGATCTTGAAACAGCATAGTCAGTGGGAGAAGGCATTGGAACTATCTCAGAATGCAAGTTCCAGACCCAAGATGCCAGGACTTTGAGAATCTTCTGAGGCTCAGGTAGAGGAGCGTGGGTGTGTCAGAAGGGAGGTTACAGCTGCTTTCCCAGCTAAGCCCAACTAGTTGTAATGTTTTCCCCAATGACTAATGATAAGCAGGTCTCACTCTTCTTACAGTATTTAGTCATGAAAAGAAGTATATTGGGCACTACAGAGAGGTAAGACTCTTTATAAACTCTCTAAGCATAAGCAAGCACCTCTTCCCTGGAAGACTAGCTACAAAAATGGTGCCTGTGGTACAAATGAAGAAACAGAGGCACAGAGACATGTTGGCAAAGTACACTTTTATTTAACAAATATGTTTGAGTACTTCCTGAGTACCACACTCAGTCTACAAGTAGGAGTTAGAGAGGGGACAAGGCAGATTGGTTTCTGTCCTCATAGGAGACAGAGTGTTAATAAAACCACAGCCAACAGAAGCCTCACCAGTTGTGATTAAGTGCACCAAGGAAAAGGACAGTGAGATGAATGGCAGGGGATCGATCAGATTAGATTGGAAGCCACAGAGATCTTTCAGAAGAGTGACATTTCACTTGAATCCAGCATGATGATGCTTTGTAGAGAAGGCAAGGAAACTGCCCAAATATGGGTCCTCCTCCCTTGAGAGAAGGGTGATATGGTTGAGCTCAGTGAGCAGGACGAGAGATATGGCCAGACAAGGAGGCAGAGACAGGTCACGGGGGCCTTTCAGTTCATGTTCTCAGAGGTTGGCTTTGACTCCATGTGTTACAGAAAGGAATTGTTTTTACAGACGTATGTCCTACCCTGGTAGTGCTACATGCTAGGCTACTAACTGAAAGGTCAGAGATACCAATTCGCTGGGCACCCTGCAGAGTTTTTACAGCCTTGGAAATCTGATGGAGAGTCACCAAATCCACAACACTAGGGTTCTTTGTTGTTTTGTTCTTTAAATCATATAGACAGTAAAGTACACAAATATCCTTACAGAAAGACAAACAGTATAGCTGCCGCCCCTTGGAAGTTTTTAGGCAGGGAGGTGACAAGCTGTGAATTACATATTAACAAGGTTTCACTGGGCTGCTGCAGTGAGTGGCTGGTGAGGACCAGTTGCAATTGATTGACAGTGAACTTGGATTAACTGTAGAGCCAACCAGAGCCATACTTCTTTGTCTGGGCTACCATTTGAATGAAACATTGCAGGGTTTTGTAAACAACAGTTCAATTCATTGCCGAGGAGTTGGAACTAACTCCTAGCCAATGCTCCATTGGGTTTCTGAGGCTGTTAATAGCAAGGAAAGAGAATGCCTTTTCCCTAAGGAGTTTCAGGTGGATTAGAACCTAGAGAATTGTGATCTTTAGGTTAGCAGGACAACCCCCTAGAGACCATGCCACCAGCGCTGCTTTTGTAAACAATTAGGGTTCTGATTTTCTCCATCAGGTTGTGTTGATGTGAAACAGAACTCACGCAGAGCTATAAAAGCACAGCTTGTGTTTGGGCAGTTCTCAGGGTTTGAGTGCCAATCAGAGAATGCAGGGTACAGGGCCTTGCAACTCTGTCAGAGTATCTGGAAGTAGAACCATGTATGCAGAAACTGCCATCAACTTTGGGAGAATGATTTGGAAGAAGGAAGAGAAAAACAAACTGCTGTGCACAGTATCTGAAGGCAGTTTATATGAGCCTTACCTCGTTCTCAGAGCTAACACCTAGAATTAGCACTCTTGCATGGAGGCAGTTTGTCTCACAGTGGTTTTTGAGCCAAAAGGAGTATTAGAGATCAAGCCTTTTTTCATTTTCTGATGAAGAAGCTAGGCTCTGTGAGGTAAGGCTCCTCGGCTGACAGAAACCCTCATTCCCAGGTCTCCCTAATCCCCAGGGCTACCTCCTGTGTGGTCTCATTCACCCCCTTGCTGCTGCTTTTATCTTGCCTTTCTCAGCAGGGAGCCCTTGGGAATTGTATTGCCCATTGAGCCTTTCAAGAACATGAAGAAGTTCGCCAAAATTTCAGACAACTTTTCTTAAGATTCAGCTTATTTTGAGGGAGTTGGTTGGCTTTCAGAGCTCCCCTCTATTTATTAGGTGAATTGGGCCTCAGATAAAATGCCAAACAAAAGCCTCAGTTGTTCCATAGTTTATTCTACTTTCCAGGGGGGAAAATTTTTCTTTTTTGAATCTTCAGTATAAAATTTCACCGTTCAGTCAGTGGTTCTTTGACCTTTTGTACAATTGGAGGTAGCTAGGGCCGGTACTCATTTAATTAGTCATGACCTTCTTCTTGTGCAAAAAACCCCACCAGGTTTGGTGGGAATCACCTAACGGATGAAATGATTCTCTTTTTGAGCGTAATAAGTAGTTAGTAATAATAGAAGGCAATGAGTTGGGATATCTCTTTTTAATTAGTTGGTGGCCCTTAGGAAAGTATACAATCGTATATGAAGTGCTTATATGCAGTACTTTAAGTAAATGGGTAATTTATGATCTTTAATAGTAATAGTGATGCCTCAGATTATTAAATCCTTCACAGAGTGATTTGTGGACAGAAATGAGGAACCGGATTTTTTTTTCAAGGCCTCTGTGGACTTTATCAGAGTCCTTGTCTCTCTTATCTTTTATCCCTCTAAAAATTTTATTGGTTTACATACAATAATTCATGTAAATTGTATTTCATACATGTACATTGTGCTTTATACAATATTTCATATAGTCATTCATATACTGTATTTTACATAATTCATTACTATTGGTCTGTTTCTATTATTACTGTCTTTTCAAGTCCCTACTGAATCTTGCCTATTTCTTCACTCATAACTCCATCCACCCACCAGCCTCTACTATTGTAGTGATTTCTCCTCTCCTCCTTCCCCTTCTCCTTTTGAACATTTATACACCTCTTGCTTATTTACCCTTCTAGTTTTACAATAATGGATTTTATGTACTTTTTGAAGCTGAGTTATTTCAGTCAACAAAATACTCTCTCTGCTCTTTCATATGTTGATTTTATGAAATCCTTGTTCCTTAGTGCTGTGTAGTATTCCATAATTATTAAATCAAAGCAATTTACCCTCCAGAATGCCGCTACTTCACACAGGAGACTCTAAACCTTCTAAGAATGTAAAAAAGAAGGATAATTAGTTATACAAGTGTTCAGGTCTTTCGTTCATAGGGTCGCTATGAATAGTCTACGCGATGGCACTTAACAACAGCAAATAACAGTGAAGGTTCCAGTCCTTGGGAAATGATATCATGCTGAGAGAAGTGGAAGGTCAGAGAAGAAAAGAAGATCCTCAACACAGTGGATTGATACAGTGACTTAACAATGAGCTCAAGCATGTCTCGGATTAGGAGGATGGTGTAGGATAGTGCAAGTTAGATCTGTTGTCCATAGAATTACTGTGAGTCATGGAGAGAGTTCTCTTGGCCTAATGGATAAAAAGTTATGCTACCAAGCCAAAGGTAGGTGACTTTAATCTGCAGCCCTCAGGCCTGGTTTTAATTCTTTTTGGTCAAACATTCTAAGTGCTATAGCACTGCTCTGTCAATTTGCTGTACAGAGGTAACTCATGGTTGCTGTGATGCTAAACACTGTGACACCGATGTGTCAAATGTGATAATGGTTACCCATGGTGGACAGTGTTTGGTAGAACTCCCCAGTTAAAACAAGCTTTGCAGTAGGAGTGCTATCCACTTCCGAAATAGCTTGCTTCCGGAAACTGTGAACTTGGAGAAATGATGAAAGTTATACAAGTGTTCACGTCTTTTGTTCATAGGGTCACTATGAGTCATATGACTCTAGGGCACTTAACAGCAACAACATCCATTAATAATCGGGAGTGAGCTGATTGGATTTTTCTGGATTTGGCTAACAGAGAGCTGTGGGCTATAAGCCTCTTAGTTAGAGTCAGTCAGGACCTGGTGGGTGGCCTTTGTGTTTAAAAGTCTGTTGTTAATTGTGTTTGGATGAACATTATGCTAAGTGGTACAGCACTGGTTTGTCAGTTTGCTGTATGAGGTAACTTGGAGTTGCTGTGATGCTGAACACTGTGCCACTGGTGTGTCAAATGCCATAATGATTACCTATGGTGGACAGTGTTTAGTGGAGCTCCCAGATTAAGACAGGCTGGGAAGCAGGAGTGGCATCCACTTCCTAAAGAACATGCTACAGGAAACTCTATGTATTTAGAGAAATAGTGATAGTTATAGAACAGAATTCAAGTCTTGTTCATAGGGTTGCTGAGTCATGCTTGACTCAACAGCACTTAACAACAACATCATCATCTATTAACAAGGAACATTTTCCCATCTTTTAGGTCTCTTACTGCTTCTCATAATAGTGTTTTGTGGTTTTCTTTATAAAGATCTTTTATGTCTCTAGTTAGGTTTATTCCCAGGTATCTCAATTTGTGGTTAGCTATTGTAAATGATACTGCTTTCTTATTCTGATTCCTTATCTGTGTTTTCTTTGTTACTGTAGAAGAATTCCATTCATTTTCATGTACTGATCTTATTTCACTCTACTGTGGTCTGCTGTTGTGCATTGAGATTGTTCACAGCTTCTGTTTGCTCGGCTCCACAGTCAACACTCTTGGCACCAGCAGTCAGGAAATCAAAAAGCATATTGTGATGGGAAAGTCTGCTGTTAGGGACCTCTCTAAAGTACTCAGGAGCAACGGTGTCTCTCTGGAGACTAAGGTGCGCCTGATACAGGCCATGGTCTTTCCAATCGCTTGTTATGCATCAGAGAGTTGGACAGTGACTAGGAAGGACAGAAGGAGAGTTGATGCCTTTGAGCTGTGGTGCTGGAGAAGAGTACTGAATGTACCATGGACTGCCAGGAAAACAAACAGATTCATCTTGGAGAGGATTAAAC